ACGAGGTTCTGACCGAGGAAGAGAGAGCGGAGGCTGTTCATATTGAGGAAGTCCTTGTGATGTACCTGCGTGATGCGGTTGCTGGTGAGCTCGAGGAAGGTCAGGTTGTACAGGTCGCGGAACACCCCAGAGGGCAGGTTCTCGATCTGAAGGAGGTGAGCTCTCGTCACAGTAGGAAACAGCATAAACCGACAAATGAAAATGAAGACAATGGAAGCATTATTATTAATATTATTATTATTATTATTATTATTATTATTATTATTATTATTATTATTATTATTATTATTATTATTATTAATTATTATTATCAGGGCTAAGCGCTATAGCCACTAGGGTAGGGCGTGATAAATGTTTAACATGCTTCATCAGAGACTAGCGAGGTGGAGAGTATAACAGTGGTAGAGTTAATAAGGGCAGTGTGAAGTACTGAAGGAACTATAATCATAGTTTGTGTGACAATGGAAGCAATGAATCTTCTTTTTCTGACGTTTCACCCAAGGCCTTGGAGCAAAACGTAGCAATAACTGCATTCCCTGTTACCAGTGTCCTTCCTTTCCCGGCAGCTGGGTCAAACCCTGGCCCTTGCTTTCCTCTCCCCTAGCTACTCTTCTCTCACGAAACCTCTTCGTCTTAAACTCTCCGATCTACCACGATCGCCACATTTATTTTATTTAATTCATGTTAAGCGCTAGACCCATGTGGGTCATTCAGCGCAAGACGTATATAAAACTACGCTCTCGAGATTCCCAAGAAAGTTGAGTGGGAAATTGCTGTATCACAATGTTCTGGTTTGTAAAGATGACCAATACAATGATCTGGTTTATAAAGAAGATGATCAATACAATGATCTGGTTTATAAAGAAGATGATCAATACAATGATCTGATTAGTAAATAAGCGGGGTAACTCAAGAAGATGAATCCAGAAGCAGAGAGTTGCGAAGAGTCTCTGAAGGCTGTAAATGTGTTTCCAAAGCATCAGAATTTTTGACCTCCATAGAAGCACCGTTAACTTTCAGACCACCAGCCGCCCCTGCAAGGGTATATCTTGATGCTGGTGAAGATGTCTTGGTCCTAGGAATTATAGTTTGTGTCCCCTTTGCTGCATTAAACCAGATTACCTTCCCTTCTCCAGTCACTGTATAGGCCTACGTATTTAGCGCCTATCTATCAATAAAATAACAAACTAAAGGATAAAATTATGTAAGCAAAACAAAATTTTTAAAATTTTAATAAAATTTAAATTTATATTATAATATATATATATTATATATAAATATTATTAATTAATATATATAATATATATAATATATTATAATATATATATAAAAATTTTTTAATTTTAATATATATATATTATAATTATTTTTAAATTTTTAAAATATTATTATATATAATATAATTTTTTTTTTTTTGCCTCCAAGGAAATCAAAAATTTTCAATCAACCACTTTCCCCAAAAGGCAACCTGGTAGATATTTACGTATTGTTGGGGGAGGTAGGTTCTCTGAGGTTAAGAGGTTGCTAAAGACACCAGGGGAAGGGGGTGGTTCGTTGCGAGAGTCTTAAGTTTTTTCAGACTCTTCAGCTTGTAGAACACCAGCTGGGGAAACCGCACCCCCAAAACACTGCTCAGCACCCATCACACCAAGTACAATCTCAGATTTTATTTATTAAACTGATTTTATTAAACATATTAATTATAAAATTACTCATAAGTTACAAGTTTCGCAAAATTCGTTTCAACTGAATATAAATCTGTAAAAAATGCAGAGTTGCTTTCCCACCCGGGGTTTTAAACCATTGTTTTGTGTGTCTGTGTGTGGTGGGGGTTTTGTGTGGGGTTGTGTGTGTGTGTGTGTGTGTGTGTGTGTGTGTTTGTGTGTGCGTGTGGTTGTGTGTGTTTGGTGTGTGTGTGTGTTTTTGCGTGTGTGTGTGTGTGTGTGTGTGTGTGCGTGTGAGTGTGTGTTGTGTGTGTGGTGTGTGTCTGTGTGTCTGTTTTTTCTACGTGTTTATATCTTGGGGGGTGATTTTTGAAGGTTCCCCCTTTGAGCTTTTCCCCGAGAGGTCGAGATCTTCGAGGCTCTCCAGATCAAAAAAGATCCCTTCGTCCAGCGCCTATGCGTGGGGCCCAAATTAAGAAAAAGACTGGTGGGCTTCTTAAAGATTGGGGGGGGAACCTCCGGGGACGTTGTACGAGAGGTCACTGTGCGGGGAGAGGAAAGGATGATTACATCCGATTCATTGAGTTCGGGGGGACTCGGGACCCCAAAGCCAAACCTGTTTATTTCCCCGTTTCTCCGCGCTAATAAACCCTCTTGGGGTTTACCCCTCTCCGTAAATTTTAATATATTTTAAAATTTTTTTGGGAGTTTTTAAACCCTTTGGGGGTTATTAGCTAAAGGAATATCATTTTTTGCCCCCCGGGCGGCAATTGACAGGGGTAGGGTAAAGGAGTTATATAAAAGGAACAAGGGGGAAAACTTGAAGCAGGGGGGGTGTGAACTGAAATGTCTTTTTCAGTTACCAGACAACGAGTTCAAAACCGTGTAATGACTGTCAAACGTTTCGATTTACTCAGCGCTTTTGAACCCTTATACCGCATGTCCAAAAATAAAGAAGGAAGGAGCCCCTCAAAAACAAGTCTCAACCAAGGGGAAAAACCCTGTGTAAAGAACCAAAATACTAAAACTTCAACGCAAGGAAGAACCGGAAAAAACATGGCCACTACTAAAATACTCAAAGAACGTAACCAAGGCAAATATAGACACCCTTTTTCAAAGAAGGGGACCACGAACAACGGGATAAAGGGAACATAACGATGCAAAGGTGTAAAAGGACGTAAAAAAGATTTTTTTTTCAGTATGGAGTGATTTCAGGTGAAACGATCAGAGAGGAAATATGTAAGCAGATTCCCGCCCGTTTTAGCAGGGGGTTTATGATAAGGGAGAGATCAAAAATTTGGAATGCCCAGACTTGAGTAACTGAGGAAACAACTAGGCAAAACCACACACACACACACACCCCAACCCCCACACAACACACCCCAAAAACCACACACACACACAACACACACACAACAACCCCACACACACACCCCAAAAGGGCGAGTGACCTGTAGCGTCAGTGAAGAGGCGGGGCCAAAAATCGGACTCGACCCCCCAAACCCTAAACTAGGTGAGTACAATGGTGGTCACACACGTATTACAGGGTTTAGGGAACGCGCATCCGGAAAAATTCAGGGGGGAAGTACAGCAGCATTCTTGTGAAGTTTTAATTATATAAATAATGTTCCGTTAAAATACATTTTAAACGGCCCTTTGGATGAAAACCCCTCCTAGCATTTTGCCCCTATTTAATTATCAGCAAATTGGTTCAGTTTTAATTTTGGTATTTTACCTCCAATTTTATAAGTAGACACAATTTTTAAACTTTTGGTACTTGTTTTGCGTAAAGTTTCGCCTTCTCGTGGGGAAAAAATTGGTACTTAAGCAGTCATGGAGGTATTATAAGTCATGTAGGTACTAAGCAGCCCCCGTAGGAAACCTCAGTATTCAAAAGGGTACTTTCAGTATCACGTAGGTACCCAAGCATTCACAATGGTCTTAAAAAAGTCTGGTAGGACTTACGCAGTCACAGTAGGTACTTACGGGGTCAGGGTAGGTACTTACAGCAGTCACAGTAGGTATTACAGCATCAGGGTAGGTGCTTACATCAGTATGGTGGGGTATTTTAAAACCAGTAAGGGTTTTTCTTACAGCTACAGTAGGACTTACGGAGTCATGGTGGGCACTTACAGCAGTCCAGTAAGTTTTACAGCAATCAGGGTAGGTCTTAAAACAGTCACGTAGGTCCCACGCATTCTGATGGGTCTTCAGCAGCGGGTGGGCATTTAAAATCAGTCAGGGTAGGTACTTACAGCAGTATTTTGGACTTCAGCTCACGTAGGTATTTACAGCAGTAGGTGGGTATTTACATCAGTCATGGTAGGTACTTACAGCGCCCGTGGTACTTACAGCATTCATGGTAGGTACTTCAGCACACAGTAGGTCTTACAGCGGTCACAGTAGGTTTTAACAGTACAGTACTTATTACAGGGTCCATTGGGTTTTACTCAGTACAGTAGGTACTTACATCAGTCCGTAGGTACTTACAGCAGTACGTAGGACTTAATGTGCGCAGGTTCTCTGGTCGTAGAAGAGACTTTTGGGTAGTAGCTCCAGGTGTTGTCGTTCAGGTCTCTGGGGGAGAGCCAAAAGTATTATATAAAATTTTTTGAACCCTTAGAATTTTAAAGAAAGAGGGATTTTAGAATAAGGACCTTTCAAGGTGAGGGTTGATTTGTGCTTTGAAAGCATTTTGATCCGGGGAAAAATGCAGCTAACGGGTTTTTCCTGTTATTCCCGGGAGCTGTATGACCCCCCCCCCAGTAGTTTTGCGCTTCCCCCTGGAATATTATTAGCCATACTGGCTGAGGAACTTGAATTGGGGACTTAAACTTATGAGGGACTTGGCAAAAAAACTTAGATGACGAATAACGGAGTCTTAAAAAGATGTCTTTTGAAGAGGGGCTTTGGAAATTGAGTTTAACAAGAGGGCTTTTGGAATTAACTATAACAAGGGGGGGGCTTTAAAAAGTAGGGTCATTTGAAGAAGGGCTTTGCAAAAGGTCTTAAAAAAAAAAGGCCCTTTAAAAAGAATGTTTTTAAGAGGTCTTTAGCAAAAAGGTTTTTAACAACAAGGTCTTTAAAAAGAGGTTTTTTAATTTTTTAATCTTTAGCAAAAAGGTCTTTAACAAGAGGGGCTTTTAACAAGGGTTTCAAAAAGGGGTCTTAAAAAAATTTTAGTCTTTAACAAGAAGGGCCCTTTTCAAGGTGCCTTTAACAAAGGGTCTTTAAAAAAAGGGGTTTTAACCTCGACTTACAACTCCACGCGGGTAAGACGATTGAAGGAGTCTTTATGTAGGCTTTTAATCTATTCACCCAAGGTCCTGAAAAAATAAATAAATAAATAAATAAATAAATAATAAAAATAAATAATAATAAAAATAATAGCAAAATAATAATAAAAATTTAATAAAAAAAAAATAATAATAATAAAAATAAATTTTTATTATTTTTATTATTATTATTTTTATTATTTTTATTTTATTATTATTATTATTTTTATTTTTATCATCATCTCATCAGCCATTATCTTTTTATGTTCGTATTCATTATATTCATCCAGAAATCTAATCGTTCAAAAATTTTTCATCAATTCTTCTTATTCATTATAAAACATGTTCAAAGCATTCATTATCCTTCTATGCTCGACAGAATTCTTCATAATCATCATAGTCATCATTTTTTGTCGGCACACCAGTATTTATATTTTTCCCGATCATCCGATCTCCTAGTCACATATTTTCTGGGTAATGATGCTCATATGGTCACCATCTGTCATCTTCACATAGACTCATAAAATTCTATTCTTATTCACAAATATTGTATTTTTCCAGATCCTTTTTCAAGGACTTGATCTACCTCTCTTTCCTTTGGGTCAAACCTGTTATCGCTTTTTTCCCCCGTTGTTTAGCGCTTCCTAATATTACATGTACAATAATCATTTTTAAAAATATCCTTTAAATTAAAAGATTAGGATAAATCATTGTGTTCACTTTTTAATGTTCACCCCGAAAAGCTTGTTCACTTTTTTTTCATTTTATTTCACTTATTCAGCTTTTTTGCCTGGATCTCCCTGGGGATGTTCAGGGGTCAACGCCCCCCCCCCCCAGTCCATGACCAGGGATCCCCGGGGGCAGAGCCTGTCAACCCAAATTTTATTTATGTTTTTGTAATCCCTTCGTTAAGAACAAAAATCACCTTTTGTGGCTTTTAATGAAACCCCCAGCCGACGTTTCGGTCCGTTCGGACATTGTGAAGATTTTTCGGTCCTCCTGGGGTCATTACAAAACCCCGCTTGTCTCTTTTTGTTACCCTTTTTTAGCTACTTGTCGTCTCTTTTTCCAAATTTCTTTATTTACTTTTGATTCAAGATGGTCTAGGAGCAAACGAAAGTTTCTTTGAAATTTTTACCTACCTATATTGTTTTTTAATTACGATATCATATATCGCCGGCCAATACTGTTTTATCACACATATATTAATTTCCGTAATCCTATTTCCAATATTCGTCATTGGGCAAACCTCTCTGCCATATTCACAACTACGCAAATAGTGACGTAGCACAAAAACCCGAAAGGGTTTTCCCTAGATATGTTAGGTCTCGATTTCGTGACCAGCCACAGGTTTACAGTCATTTCGTTTTAGTGAGGTACTCTCAAACTTCGTGATTAAAACACGTGCCACAGTCAGTTCGTCCTAGTGAGGTACTCTCAAAATTTTGTGATTAAAACCAGTGCTCACAGTCGTTTCCCCGTGGGTACTCTCAAACTTGTGATTAAAAAACAGTGCTCACAGTCATGTTTTGTCTCTGTGAGGTACTCTCAAAATTCGTGACCCCGCACAGTCATGGATGTCTTTAAAACCCTTCACAGAACCCAGATCCGGGTGTCGGCAGAAATTTTTTGCTTGCGAGGAACGTGAGGAAACTCAAGTTCCAGCGGAGACGAAAAAAGGGTCTCCAAGTCAGGAACACGGGCCCCGCACACAGGACCACCCCGGGGGGGCCCTCGTTCACGGGGCCCCATAAAGGGAGGGGAAAATAAATTCCAAAAAGAAAACAACAAAATGTGAGAAAAAGGGGAGAACCTTTCTAGTAAAAAAAAAAAATTTAGCTTATACTTGCATGAATTAATAACAAGACATTTAACTAGAGAAAAAATGTTGATATTCTCCTCAGAAAAAAAACAAAATCATCTTGCAAAGGACAAAAAAAAAACAACAAAAAAAAAAATTATATGTTTTTAAGGTAATGGTAATTTTCGGTGGGGTTCAAGGGCCAGTTTTAAAAAAAAAAATAAATTATTAGATTTTTTTTTTAATCGAAGGGTCATTTTTTTAATTTACTTACGCAACCTAAACCCCCTCATGCAACCCTTAAACCCTTTAATGGGTTGGGTTTATTAAGGGATTTTAAAACCTAGACTAAACTAAGTCATTTAGGTGCAACTTCTTACCCCAGGGAAAATTATTTAATCACTATTTTTTTGGGTTTTAAAATTAGCATATATATATAATATAAATTTTAAAAATAAAATATAATTATATATATAATAATATAATAATATAAATATATATATATTTTTATAATATAATTATATATATATATAAATTTTTTTTTTTAAAAATATAATTTTTAATAATAAGAGAAAAGGTTAAAAGGGGGGTGAAGAAAGTAAAAAGAGAGCAAGAGAGAGTGGGGAGATGTTATCAAAAATTTTGTTGAAAATAAGAAAAAGTTTTTTGGGGTGAGATTAACAAGTTAAGAAAGGGCCAGAGAACAAAGGATTTGTTAGTTAAAAATAGGAGAGGAGAGTTATTAAATGGAGAGTTAGAGGTATTGGGAAGATGGAGGGAATATTTTGAGGAATTGTTAAATGTTGATGAAGATAGGGAAGCTGTGATTTCGTGTATAGGGCAAGGAGGAATAACATCTTGTAGGAGTGAGGAAGAGCCAATTGTGAGTGTGGGGGAAGTTCGTGAGGCAGTAGATAAAATGAAAGGGGGGTAAGGCAGCCGGGATTGTGGGATAAAGATAGAAATGTTAAAAGCAGGTGGGGATATAGTTTTGGAGTGGTTGGTGCAATTATTTAATAAATGTATGGAAGAGGGTAAGGTACCTAGGGATTGGCAGAGAGCATGCATAGTTCCTTTGTATAAAGGCAAAGGGGATAAAAGAGAGTGCAAAAGTTATAGGGGGATAAGTCTGTTGAGTATACCTGGCAAAGTGTATGGTAGAGTTATTATTGAAAGAATTAAGAGTAAGACGGAGAATAGGATAGCAGATGAACAAGGAGGCTTTAGGAAAGGCTTTAGGGGGTGTGTGGACCAGGTGTTTACAGTGAAACATATAAGTGAACAGTATTTAGATAAGGCTAAAGAGGTCTTTGTGGCATTTATGGGTTTGGAAAAAGGCGTATGACAGGGTGGATAGGGGTCAATGTGGCAGATGTTGCAGGTGTATGGTGTAGGAGGTAGGTTACTGAAAGCAGTGAAGAGTTTTTACGAGGATAGTGAGGCTCAAGTTAGAGTATGTAGGAAAGAGGGAAATTATTTCCCAGTAAAAGTAGGCCTTAGACAAGGATGTGTGATGTCACCGTGGTTGTTTAATATATTTATAGATGGGGTTATAAGAGAAGTAAATGCGAGGGTTTTGGCAAGAGGCGTGGAGTTAAAAGATAAAGAATCACACATAAAGTGGGAGTTGTCACAGTTGCTCTTTGCTGATGGACACTGTGCTCTTGGGAGATTCTGAAGAGAAGTTGCAGAGATTGGTGGATGAATTTGGTAGGGTGTGCAAAAGAAGAAAATTGAAAGTGAATACAGGAAAGAGTAAGGTTACGAGGATAACAAAAAGATTAGGTGATGAAAGATTGGATATCAGATTGGAGGGAGAGGGGTATGGAGGAGGGAATGTATTCAGATATTTGGGAGTGGACGTGTCAGCGGATGGGTCTATGAAAGATGAGGGAATCATAGAATTGATGAGGGGAAAAAGGGTGAGTGGTGCACTTAGGAGTCTGTGGAGACAAAGAACTTTGTCCTTGGAGGCAAAGAGGGGGGAAGATAGAGAAGTTTTACCAACGAGTCTCTGAAGGCTGCTAAAATGTGTTTCCAAAGCATCAGGAATTTTGTCCTCCATAGAGCACCGGTTAACTTTCAGACCACCAGCCGCCCCTGCAAGGGTATATCTTGATGTGGTGATGATGTCTTGGTTCCTTGGAATTTAGTTTGTGATCCCTTTGCTGCATTAAACCAGTTTACTCCCTTCTCAGTCACTGTTTAGGCCATACGTATTTTGCGCCTATCTAATCAATAAAATGAAACAAACTAAGGAATATAAATTATGTATGCAAATCATCATATACATTATATATATATTTTATATATTTATATATATATATATATATATATTATATATATATATCTATATATATATATTATTTATATATTTATATATATATATTATATATATATATATTATTTAATTTATTTATATATATATATATATATTTATATATATATATATATATATATATATATATATATATATATATATATATTATTTTTTTTTTTTTGCCTCCAGAGAGAAATCATACAATTTTCAATCAACACTTGACATACCAAGGACAACCTGGTATGATACTTTACGTTGTTGTTGTGGAGGTAGAGTTCTTGAAGGTTGAAGAGGTTGCTGAAGACACCATGGGGAAGGCGGGTGAGTTCGTTGCGAGAGATCTTAAGATGTTTCAGACTCTTCAGCTTGTAGAACACCTGCTGAGGCAACTCCTGCACCTACAAATGCATCTGCACCTCATCCACAAGTACATTTTCTCCAGACTTTATTTATTAAACTGATATTTATTAAACTAATATTAATTATAAAATTACTCATACTGTCTACAAGTTTCGCTAAATTCTAGTTTCAACTGAATATGAATCTGTAATAATGCAGAGTTGCTTTCCCTCCAGCGGGGTGTTAAACTACGATGTGTTGTGTGTGTCTGTGTGTTTGTGTGTGTGTGGCTGTGTGTGTGGTGTGTGTCGTGTTGGTGTTGTGTGTGTGTTGTGTGTGTGTGCGTGTTGAGATGTGGTGTGTGTGTGTGTGTGTGTGTGTGTGCGTGTGTGTGTGTGTGTGTCGTGATGTTGTGCGGTGTGAGTGTGTGTGTGTGGTTTAGGGGGGTTTTTTGTTTGGTGTGTGTCTGTGTGGTCTGTGTCTGTGTTCTACGATGTATTAATTTTCTTGAGGGTTGTCTTTGAAGGTTGACCTTGAGTTATTCTCCGAGAAGGTCGAGTTCTTCGTGGCTAGCCAGATCAAAGAAGATACCTTCGTCCAAGACGCCCGGATAGCGTTGGTGGCCCAATAATTATGAAGATAGACCATGGTTTGGTGGAGCGTCGTGTAGAGTGGTGGCGGGGTGTCCCGCCAGGGATCAGTTGTCGAGAGGTCTCGGGCGGGTGAGAGGAAAGGACTAGAGTTCTATCGACTTAATTGGCTTCGGGGACTCGGGATCCCCTATGCCATTCCTGGTGACGTCCCGTTGCGCATAGCGAGTCTGGTACCCGCTCCACCCCCCCTCGGGGGGTTACAGGCGTTCCGGGTATGGGTTGTGTGGGTGTGTTTACGGGGGTGGAGGTGTGGGGTGGGTGGGGTTGGGGTGGGATTGTTCTGTCGGGCTTATGGTGTTATTATTTTTAACCCCCCCCCCCCCCCTTCTATATTTTATTATTATATCTTCTTTATTTTTTTTTTTTTTATTTTGTTTTTGTATATATTTATAATGTATATGGAGCTTTAAACCTTGTTGTGGGTTATTCAGCTCAATGTATATCAGATTTTTGCCCTCCGGCTGCTAATTGACAGGGTGTAGGGGTAAAGGAGATGTACTTCAAGGAACAAGTGGGAAACTGTGCAAGCAGGGTGGGTGTGAACTGATGCATGTCATTCAGTTTCCCAGGACTACGAGATTCAACACCGTGTATTGACTTGGCAAACATGTTTACGGAGTTACTCTGCTGCCAGTATGAAACCTTATACCGCATGTCCAGAAACTAAAGAAAGTGAAGGAGAGTCCCTACGTAACTAGTCTCGAACTATGAGGAACTCCTGTGTAATGTAAACCTAAATTAATCCGTATCGTTCTTTCTCTGTTTTCCTCTTACTCCTAAATCATTTCTTTACCTCTTTTCCTTCTTCCTTTTTTTACTCCCTCTAGAAACATTACAACGCATGAGAAGAACCGGGAGAACTGGCCACTACATACAAGATACTCAAAGAAGTAAACAAAGCAAATATAGACAGCCTTTTTCGAAAAAGAAGGGGACCACGAACAACGGCATTAAATGGAACATAACGATGTGCAAAGGTGTCATAGGCACGTGAAAGATTTTTTTTTCTGTATGAGAGTGATTAAAGGTGAAGACGATATAGATGAGGAATTAGTGTAAGCAGATTCCCTGCCCAGTTTTAGCAGTGGGTATGATAAGGATGAGATCAAAAATTTTGGATGACCAGACTTGAGTAACTGAGGAAACAACTAGGCAAGAACCACTCAACACACACACACACACACACACACACACACACACACACACACACACACATCACACACACACACACACACACACACACACACACCACACACAGGGCGAGTGACCTAGTAGCGATCAGTGAAGAGGCGGGGCCAGGAGCTCGGACTCGACCCCCGCAACCTCAACTAGGTGAGTACAACTAGGTGAGTACACACACGTACTTACATGGTTCTGAGGGAACGCGCATCCTGGAAAATATCAGGTGGAAGATACAGCAGACGATTCTTGTGAAGCTTTCTGAAATTATATGAAATAATGTTCCGTTAAAATACAGTAAATATAGCGGATACCTTGATGATAACCTTCCTAGCACCTGTTGCCCCATATTTAATTATCAGCAAATTGGTTCAGTTTTAATATTGGTATACATTACCTCCAAGTTGATAAGTCAGACACAAGTTTAACATTTAGGTACTTGTGTTGCGTAAACGTTTCGCCTTCTCAGTAGGCGAAACAGTAGGTACTTACAGCAGTCATGGTAGGTACTTATAGCAGTCATGGTAGGTACTTACAGCAGTCACAGTAGGTACCTACAGTATTCATGATAGGTACTTTCAGTAGTCACAGTAGGTACCTACAGCATTCACAATAGGTACTTACAACAGTCATGGTAGGTACTTACAGCAGTCCAGATAGGTACATCAAGCAAGTTCATGGTAGGTATTACAGCGTCACAGTAGGTACTTACAGCTAGTCATGGTAGGTGCTGACATCAGTCATGGTTAGGTACTTAAAACAGTCACAGTAGGTACTTACAGCAGTTTCACAGTAGTACTTACGGCAGTCATGGTAGGCACTTACAGGCAAGTCACAGTAAGTACTTCAGCAATCATGTAGGTACTTACAGCAGTCACAGTAGGTACCTACAGCATTCAGGATAGGTACTTACATGCAGTCATGGTAGGCACTTACATAGTCATGGTAGGTCCTTACAGCAGTCATGGTTTGTACTTACAAGCAGTCACAGTAGGTACTTAAAGCAGTCTTGGTAGGTACTTACATCAGTCATGGTAGGTACTTACAGCAGCCACAGTAGGTACTTCGAGTCATTGGTAGGTACTTACAGGTCTCAGTTAGTACTTACAGCGGTCACAGTTAGGTACTTACAGCAGGCACAGTACATACTTACAGCAGGCACAGTTGGTACTTACATCAGTCACAGTAGGTACTTCATCAGTCACAGTAGGTACTTTCAGCAGTCACAGTTGTACTACATGTGACGCAGGTCTCTAGGTAGTAGAAGAGATGTGGGTAGTAGCTCAGGTGTTGTCGTTCATGGTCTCTGGGTCGGGGAGCCAAAGATATTATAGGTGTAAATTTTGAAGGGGGCCTTAGAAGTTTGAAGTAAGAGGGACTTTAGAAATAGAGACCTTTCAAGGTGATGGGTTGACTTGATGCTTGTGAAAGCATCTTGTCTTGATCCAGGGTAATGCAGCTAACTGATTTCTGTTATTCCTCGGGAGCTGTATGACTTCCCCCCCATGTGTAGTTTTGCGCCCTTCCCCATGGTCATATAATAAGCCATACTGGCTGAGGAACTTTGAATTCGGGACTTAAACTATGAGGGTGACTTAGAGCTAAAAAACTTTCGACTTGAGCGACATAATCGAGAGTCTTAAAGATGATAGTCTTTAGCAAGAGGGTCTTTGGAAATTGAGTCTATAACAAGAGGGTCTTGAGAATGATGTCTATACAGGGGGTCTTTAATAAGTAGGTCATTATGAGAAGGTCTTTAGCAAAATGGTCTTCAACAGAAGACTTTAACAAAATGTTTTTAACGAGTCTTTAGCAAAAAAGGTTTTTAACAACAAGGTTCTTTAACAAAGAGGTTTTTTAAGATTTGATTCTTTAGCAAGAAAGGTTCTTAAACAAGAGGGTCTTTAAACTAAGGCTTTCAAACAAGAGGTTTAAAAATTTGAAATCTTTAACAAGAAGGCCTTGATCAGGAGTGATTTAACAGAGGGTCTTTAACAAGGGTGTCTTTAACCTCGACTTACAACTCCACAAGCGGGTAAGACGATTGAAGGAGTTCTTTATGTAGAGCTTTAAGTCTATTCATCCCAAGGTCTCTGAAATAAATTAAAATAAATAAATAATAAATAATTAATAATAATAATAATAATAATAATAATAATAATAGCAATAATAATAATTAATAATAATAATAATAATAATAATAATAATAATAATAATTATTATTATATTATTATTAGTATTATTAATATTATTATTATTATTTTTATTATTTTATTATTATTATTATCATCTTCATCATCAGCCATTATACTTTTTATGTTGTATTCATTATATCATCACAGAAATCATAATCGTTCAATATTTTTTATCATATTCTTCTTATTCATTTTTTAATCCTGTTCAAAGATTTCATTATCCTTCATCATGCTCGGACTAGAATCTTCATAATCATCATGTCATCATTTTCTTGTGCACACCAGTATACATCTTTCTGTCATCCTGATCTTCCTAGTCACCATATTGTCTGTGTAATTGATGCTCATGATGGTCACTCTCATCTTGTCATCATTCACATAGTACTATATTATTCATCATCATTTTTCATTCACTCATAGTATTTTGTCAGATCTTTTTCTAGGACTTTGGGGGAAAAATCTATCCTCTCTTTCCGTGGGATCAAACCTGATTATCGCTCTTTTTTCCCCTGTGTGTTTATGCGCTTCCTGAATATACATGTACAATAATCTATTCTTAATAATCATCCTTATTAATTAATGATTAGTTAAATCTTTAGTGTTCACATCTTACTGTTCACTCGAAAGCTTGTTCACTTTTGGTAATTTTATTGACACTTATTCAGCTTTTGTTGCCTGGGTCGCCCTGGAGGATGTTCAGGGTCAACGCCCCCCCGGGCCAGTCCATGACCAGGTATCCCGGTGGATCAGTGCCTGATCAACCAGATTGTTATTATGCTGTTCTTTGGAATCCATTCGTAAAGAACAAAAAATCACCACTATTGTGGCTGTATAACCCACAGCCGACGTTTCGGTCCGTTTGGACGATTGTGAAGATGGTTTCGGTCCTCCTGGGTCATTATTCATGACCCTGCTTGTCTTTTTTGTTACCTTTCGTATGATGACTTGTCCGTCTAGCTTCTCACACTTATCTTTTTCTTACTTTCGATTCAATGATGGTCTAGGAGAAACCGAATGTTTCTTTGAAATTTTATACCTACTATATTGTTTGTTTATTACGAACTATCATATATCGCCCGGCCAATACTGTATTTATCACACTATATATCTATATCCTGTATATCCTATTTCCATATATCTCGTCATTGGTCAGAACCATCTCTGCCACTATTCACAACATACGCAACTAGTGCACAGTAGCACAAACCCTGACAGTGTTTACCCTAGATATGTTAGGTACTCAGATTTCGTGACCAGCACACAGTGTTTACAGTCATGTTCGTCTCTAGTGAGGTACTCTCAAACTTCGTGATTAAAACACAGTGCTCACAGTCATGTTCGTCTCTAGTGAGGTACTCTCAAACTTCGTGATTAAAACACAGTGCTCACAGTCATGTTCGTCTCTAGTGAGGTACTCTCAAACTTCGTGATTAAAACACAGTGCTCACAGTCATCGTTCGTCTCTAGTGAGGTACTCTCATAATAAAAAAAATTCGTGACCTCACAGTCATGGATGTCTATACACCTTTCACAGATACTCACAGACTCCGGGTGTCGGCAGGAATCTGTTGCTTGCGAGGAACGTGATGGAGAAGCTCAAGTCTCCAGCAGGAGACGAAACGGGTCTCCAGAGTGACAGAGGAACACGGGCCCTCAGCACAACTGGACCACGCTGGAGGGGGGGCCGTCGTTCACGGGCCCAACTAACGGGCGAGAACAGTAATTTCACAAAAAGGAAACACAAGGTCGATGTGAGGAAACAAGGCGAGAACACTTTATAGGTAAAAATAAAATTGAGCATTTACTTGCATGAATTAAAAACATGCTTTCATACATAGAGATAAAATGGTCTGATATTCTCGGCCAGAAAAATAACATATAATCATCCTGCATAGGACAACAGAAAACAAAGAAAAAAAATTATAATGTTTTGAGGTGGTAATGATAATTTCGGATGGAATTCTGGACCTAGTTGAAAAAAAAAGTCACATTATTAGATTTTTTTTGTAATCGAAGGATCATTTCTTCTTTATTTTCTATACGCAACAATAACCACTACATGCAACCATTACTCTTTAATGGTTGGTTGTTTAAATGGATTTAAAAGCCTATCGACTAAAACTAGAGTCATGGGCTGCAACCTTCTTCCTCCAGGCAAGACATTATTTAATCACTATTTTCGGGATTTAAACTTCAGCCATATATATTATTATATATTATATATAATATATATATATTATACATATATATATATATATATATATTTATATTATATATTTCTATATATATATATATATATATATATATATATATGTATATATTATATATATATATATATATATATATATATAGGAGAAGGTTGAGAGAGTGGTGAAAGCAATGTTAAAAAGGAGCAAAGGAGAGAGTGGGTGAGATGTTATCAACAAATTTGTTGAAAATAAGAAAAAGTTTTGGAGTGAGGATTAACAGGTTAGAAAGCCTAGAAGTACAAATGATTTTGTTAGTTAAATAATAGGGTGAGGAGGAGTTATTAAATGGAGAGGTTAGAGGTATTGGGAAGATGGAGGAAGATTTTTGAGGAATTGTTAAATGTTGATGAAGATAGGGACGCTGTGATTTCGTGTATAGGCAAGGTGGAATAAACATCTTGTAGGAGAGAGAAGAGCCAATGTGTGTGTTGGGGGAAGTTCGTGAGGCAGTGATAAATGAAAAGGGGGTAAGGCAGCCGGGAATGATGGGTAAAGATAGAATCTGTTAAAAGCAGGTGGGGATATTGTTTTGGAGTGGTTGTGCAATATTTAATAATGTATGGAGAGGGTAAGGTACCTAGGGATTGCAGAGAGCGGCATAGTTCTCTTTGTATAAGGCAAAGGGGATAAAAGAGAGTGCTAAAAGTTATAGGGGGATAAGTATGTGAGCTATACCTGGCAAAGTGTATGTAGAGGTATTATTGAAAGAATTATGGGAGTAAGGACGGAGAAATAGGATAGCAGCTGAACATGGAGGCTTTAGGAAAGGTAGGGGGGTGTGTGGACCTGGTGGTTTACAGTGTAACATATAAGTGAA